AAGGGCCAGGGCTTCCCACAAGGTGACATTTTCTGCCAAAAGTCAAATACCTAAAATGTCCAAGATATCCATTCATTTATACACTCAAGTAGTCAACAAATATTCACTGAGCATGTACTACATTCCCTGTGCTGCTCCAAGAGCTTGGGAACCATCAGTGATCAAAACAGAGCAAATCCCTGCTCCCCTGGAGTTTATCTAGGGGTGAGAGACTAACAATAATTAATAAATAGAAAAACTAAGCCAATTATAGAGTGTGTTCTAAGGTGCTAAGTGTTATGGGAAAAATAAAACATTAGTGGTGCAAGGTAAGCCTGATGGAAAATGCCCAGGGAATGGGAGGGCAGGTTGGCCTTTTAAAAGAAGGGTCAAGGATGCAATAGAGGGGGTGAGGACTTGATAATATGGGTGAATGTTGAAACCACTGTGTTGTTTATGTGGAACCATCGTAAGATTATATATCAATGATACTTTAATTTTTTTAAAAGGGTCAGGGAGCCTCTTTGAGGGGTCATATTTGAGCAAAGACCCACAGGTGGCAGAGAACCAAGCCATGTGGCTGAGGGAAGAACATTTTGTACAGAAAGGACAGCCACGCGAAGCCCTGGAGTCAGGAGGGGCACCAGGTGTGTCTGGGGAGATGCAGGAGGCCAGTGCAGTTGCTGAGAGCAAGGAGAGAGGAAAGAGTGACTACGGGACAGGCAGTGTCTTCTTGGCCACCCTCCACCACCCATGGAAGGCAGTGGAGAACCATCAGGGGGTTGTCACAGAGGAGCAACCAGATCCAACTCAGCGTGCTAAGGGGCTCACTCTACCATGTTGGGAACAGAGGGGAGGGCCAGGGCAAGCAGAGAAACCGGCGTGTCTGTCTGATCTGTTTCCATAACCGTATATATGGCTTTAGATAGCTGCCCTCCTCCCAAGACTTAGGACAATGTTTCTAGGGCTAAAAAGAAGGGAAAAAATGTTTCAAAACCATTACAAAGGTCCAATTCTGAAATCAGAGGTTCTCTCATGACTGAGCACCTGCTCTGACCCAGAGTAGCCATAGGAAACAGCAAAGCCTCCAGGGAACGCTGCCTGCTGGCAGGTGTGTGGCCCAGGTGTGGGAGGGGACTACAGAGTTCCTTGAGTTCCTGGTGGGGAAGCCCAGAGGGGAAAAGGGGCAGCCAGAGAGCCACTGTGCCGGCTGGATGAGGGCCCTGTCCGTGGTTCAGCCGGCCCTTCCCTGTTGCTCAGACCTCATTCCTCTCACATCAGGTTTCTGAGTTATACCCAAGTTTGATAAAGGCCAAATAAAGTGTCACAGGGCTAGAAGACCCTTCAAGAGCTGTGTGCCAACATCAGGAGATGATGTACATTTAGATACATAAAAAGATGCGGAGAAGACTAGCAGAGATGGTGGGCAATGCCCAACTTAAATGAGCTGTGTGGGCAGCCATCAAGACAGGCCTTGTCCATGGGGAGCCCATCAGGGCTGATTCCAGAGAACCAGCCAGCCAGGAAGGCGTCCCTGAGCCCAGGCAGATACAAGGACAGTTCTGAGGAGGAACAGGGCAGGGCAGGAAGGTATGGGTGCTTCCTTTGGACAAATCCAGAAAGACTTCCTAGAAGCAGGTGGATTTTCAGCACAGTTGAGAGAGCAGAAGGGAGGAAGGGAGGGGAGGCAGTGAGTCCCTGGCATGGGGAAGAGCAAGCATGCCACCAGCAAGCATTGCAGCTTAGATAACATGCAGGAGGAGGAAGGGCATCTGCAGATGGGTGCAAGTGAGTGTGAGGGACGAGGAGGCCTCTGGGGAAACCCCACGAGGTGGACTCCAGGAATGGAGCAGATTCAGAGGGAGTGGCGCAAGTTGCCTGGGGCTCCACGGTTGGGTAAAGAACCTCTGTCACCCAATTAACTCTTGAAGGCTTCCTGGGAGAGGTGATCCATTAGAAACATTCTAAGTAATGGGAGGGATGTTGGTTCTTAAGTGGACACTTCTGACACTATGTGTGGCCTTCAAAAGGTATGTGAGCAGGAGGGGACAGGACCAGAGGGTGATGAATGACAACACCCAGGACAAGAGGGTGTGGAAAGGGATAATTGGAGTAACCCGGGGAGCCCCGGGAGGGGCATTTTATGAGCTGAGGCAGAGTAGGAGAAATCACAGCCTCTCTCTGACTAGTTCACAAAGGCTTCCTGGAAGAGGTGGTCGGCCATTGGGAGACATTCCGGGCAAAGGTGTAACCTGGGAGGAGGCTTGGATGTAGGGAGAAGGGCCCAGGTGGACAGTAAATGAAGAAGAGACCAGTGAAGGGAGGTCTAGCTCCAGCTCCCACCCTGGGATCTGGGTCCCCCTGAGCGGGGGTGGTGGGTGCTGGATAGAGACAGGCATGGGGCTCTGGGCTCTCTGAACCTCTCTTGGACTGAACCACAGTGAAGGCTCAGGTCCCATGTGCCCACACGGACCCTCCAGGACACCTGTGACAGACCGGCCTGTCTGTGAGTTCTCTGAGTTTCTCACTTGCCCTGGAACTGTCCCATAAGGACTCAGCCCAGCCGCTCCAACCGTAAGCACTATGAGCACAGTCTTCCTGAGCAATGGCCACCTGCCCAGGGCTCAGCTGCTTTCTGCAATGATGCAGACTCCACCCAGTGTCTACATACCCGCCCAAGTGCTCAGAGCCTGGCTCTGGATAGCCTTGCTCACCCTCGATGTGGGTGTGTGGGGGGGTGTGTTAGGGAGACGGGAGCAGCTCCCATAGGAGCCTTCTCTAGGACAAAGCCTCCACTCCCTCCTGCCCCCAAGGACAGGCAGAAAGGGATCTGGCTCCATCCTCTTCTAAAAGCTGAAGGAGAAGGGAGGCTTATAGGAGTTGTGAAGAGGGTGAGGTTTTATGGGCTTTCCTGGCTGGTTGAGCAGAGGACCCACCCATCCTCTACCTCCTACACTCACCTCCCACCTCCTCCCTACTTTCAGAGGGCTGGAACCCCTCTTAGGCTACACCCCACTGGCTGCAGGTCTACACAACAGTCAGGCAATGAGCTCACTGTTCAAGACACGGGAATACATTCCTGGACCCAGGCCAGCAGGGTCCTCACTGAGGGGTGGTGCCAGGAATCCATCCTCCATGCTTCCCAATTTAGCTTCCTCTCTTCACCTCCAGACTCCACACCAAATTTTTATACTAGTGAGATCAAGTTAAAGAAAACATTAAAGGCAGCCATGAAAGGGTAAAGAAGTCACAAATGTGCAGAGAAGGTAAAAGCCATGGGTAGGCAAAGAACACACCCACTCTCTACTTGGTGAGGGATGCAGGGGGAGTGGGGGTGTTTCCAATAGGAAGCAAGAGTCCCTTTCCTTTATACAGAGTTTTCTGCTCCCAAAACACATTCTTGTGTATTCTCCACTTAATCTTCACAACAACCCTGGAATTAAAGATGAATCTCACATTATAGTTGAGGGAATGAAAGCTCAGAGAGGTTAAGAACTTCCCCAAAGCCACACAGCTAGGAAGGGCAAAGGCAGCACCTGAACTGAGTCTTCCCACTTTGATTGCCAGATGCCATCTGCTTCCCCACTAGGGACTATGATCTAAAGACCATCTGGGGACACCTGGGGAGGCTACTGCTCCTCCCGACCGGCTGCCCACAGTCTCTCTGCCCTACTTAGAAGAGCACATGTGGAGTGTGGAGACAGAAACCAATCAGCCTGGTCTGGGGGAAGGCCTGATGGGCCCCACCACTCAGGTGAAGGCAGACCGAGGAAGACTGGGCAATGGTGGCCCAATGGCAGCCTTTGGCTCTGGGAGGTTCCCCAGAGTGTGTGTATCGCTCTCAGAGACCTAATCTGCTCTTCCTCCTGATGTTCCTAACACCTCCGGTGCGTGGCTGGCCTCCCTGGGGGCAAAGACCACATTCCCTGGGTCTGTGTTCAATGGGCACTAAAAGAATAGCGATCATTATCCTAATAAGTGGCTTCAGGATACACAGGGAAGCAGGGTCCTTAGGAGAAGCCAGGCTCCCAGAGCCCCCAGGAGCCAGAAATCATAGTGTCCACGGACAAGAGCCCCTGTGTCTGTGGAGAGCAGTCTAAACGTTCCTCTAGGCAGGACAATTCCAGGGCTGCTGAACAGGATGAGCACCTCCAATGGCTGGTGGTCTTGGAAGGAAGAGACTCACAGGACACCTGTTCCTTCTTAAAGACCCCAGGGAAGGTGCCCAGGGCAAGTTCAGAGCAGGATTATCCCGGGACTGGAATCTCTCATCCTTTCTGCCAAGTAGGAGAAAGTGGCGACAGGGGAGGCTCTCCATTAGCCACAAGTGGTCATTATTGTGGCCACTAAGAGTTGAGCGGTTTGCAGTTTTGCTGGGTGAGAAATGAAGGCTCTGAAGCTGAGGTCTGGAATCCAGAAGGTTCTAAGGAACCATGTGTTCCAGCCCCTGTCCTATAGGGAGCCTGGTCAAAATGGACCCTCTGAATACCAACCACCTTCCAGGCAATGCCGCCCGGGTGGGATTGGACTTGCCTGCACTATCAGCCTTTGAAACGTAATGATGTACTTGAGAATATGTCTTACATGGAGCCAGGAGGACAGAGGTAATGACTTCTCATGGTCTCACCCAGCCTGGGACCTTAGAGCTTCTCTCTTGAGACGGTGGCCCCAGCCTCTTCCCCAAACCCAGCCACCTCAGGCTGTTGTGGAGTTCAGATCTGTCTCCAGGTGTGGGTTGAGGCCATATCACAGGGAGACTGAAAGAAAACTAATTACTTAATATATGTAAACGAGCTTTGAAGATGAAAAGTGCAAACGCAGTGTCCCTAATAACATCTTCAATACTTTTACGGACTCTCAGAGTCGCTGCTGAGCTCACCTTTAAGATGAGTCCTTGGGGAGTTGCTGGCAAACACCCCAAGCCAATAAACAACATAAAATGACTTTTCACTCGTTTTATGCAGCCAACCCCAGCTCTCCCCACCAATAAAAGGACCAGGGAGGATCAGAGAGGCCAGAAGGATCCTAAGCAGCGCACCCCGCAGTCCTCACCAACTTCCACAGCACTCAGCCTCTGCTCAGATCCCCACCATGTCGTGCCGCTCCTACAGGATCAGCTCAGGATGTGGTGTCGCCAGGACCTTCAGCTCCTGCTCCGCTGTGGCCCCCAAAACTGGCAGCCGCTGCTGCATCACTGCCGCCCCCTACCGAGGGGTGTCCTGCTACAGGGGTATTACGGGCTTCGGCAGCCGCAGCCTCTCTAACCTGGGCTCCTGTGGGCCCCGCTTGGCTGTGGGCAGCTTCCGCATCGGCCCCTGCGGCCGCAGCTTCGGATACCGCGCCGGTGGCGTGTGCGGGCCCAACCCGCCCTGCATCACCTCCGTGTCCGTCAACGAGAGCCTGCTCGCGCCCCTCAACCTGGAGATCGACCCCAATGCGCAGTGCGTGAAGCAAGAGGAGAAGGAGCAGATCAAGTGCCTCAACAACAGATTTGCCGCCTTCATTGACAAGGTCAGTGAAGCCTGGAATGGTCCAGAGAAGGTCCCAGCCCTGCCCTCCACTCGGGAAGGTCCCGAGTCTTTTGGGGAGACAGCACAGCAGCCAGGTTTGAGACAACAGAGGGATAGAAATGCAAATCAGTATAGGCGGAAGGATCAGTTTTCATCGTTTAATTCCTGCAGTGTGTAGATGGCCCAGTGTGGTACAGAAATGGAGCCTATGTTCTAAAACGTACACATGCTTCCAGACAAACAGCATAGGAGTATCAGAGCTGCCCCTGAAAAACTGGACTGGGCACAAGGTGCTGCAAGAGTGGGAGATAACAGGGAGAGTGAGCAGCATGGGGCTCACAGCCCAGGCAGCTCCAGAACTGGTTGGCACGTGGCTCAGGGCCATGCTGCCTCCCCCATCCTTGCTGTGCCCCTCAGCAGCGTGAGACCTGGCATGTTCTGTGTCTGAAGCAGCAACAGCCTCATGTGTGTTGTAAGGATTCATGGGATCATATATGAGAAGTGCTGGCACGTAGGAAGTGCTCAGTAGATATTAACTGTTAGTATTATTTTCCATGGACCGTAGCGGGCAAGGAAATGGGTGTGACAGTTAACCAACAGGCTTGGCACCCTCCTTCACTGATGGAGGGCTGGGAATGCAGAAGGAGAAGTGGCCAGGTGTGCAGGAGGAGGCCCACCAGGGCAGAGTGTAAAAAAACGCTGCACAGAAGAATAGACAGGACCAGGCTCTGAGGTCTGGGAGGCAATGCAGTGACCTTTCTGTTACCAATTTCTCTTTAGTGCCTTTCGTTAATCTTCAAAATGGCCTAATGGGGTAGGTATTTTTATCTCCATTTTTGTAACAAATTGAAGCTGAGAGAGTTTCCATGAGCTGCTTAGGCATACTGTGATGGGCAGGCCAAGGGGACTCAAAGGGACATGAGTCCTGACTCTACACTTACTAATTGTATGACAATGAGATAGTCATTTTACAGCTTGGGGTCCCAGTTCCCCCACCTGTACAATAAGGGAAATAATAGCTCCCCCCAAAAAGGGTTACAAGAATTGAATGAAACTAACAGATATAGATACAGATGTGTGTGTGTGTGTGTGTGTGTGTGTGTGTGTGTGTGTGTGAGAGAGAGAGAGAGAGAGAGAGAGAGAGAGAGTGTGTGTGTATCTTAGCACAGGCCCTGGCATCATATAGTAGATGTTCAATAAGCATTGAATGAATTAATAAATGAAGAACAATAACCATAGAAATAGTTGAGCATTTACTATGTATCTGGGACTCTTCCAAGCATTTACATGTATTAACTCATTCAATCTTCACAACTCTAAGGAAGGCATTATTATCATCTGTTTTAGAAATGAGAAACCAAGCACCAAGACGTTAGACAATTTGTCCTCCAGAACTGGGACTTGGAGCAGACCTTTGGCTTCAAGTCCAGGTCACTTTTGCTCACACTGCCTCCCTGGGAGGCTGGGAGCAAGGGCCCCTGAGCTGAAGACGCTCAACCCCAAGGCTCAGCCCTGGGCTGGCCCTGGCTGTTCAGTAAGCATCAGGGGCAGAGAGCTCTGGAGGACCAGGCACCTCCCTGGCTCCCCCTGAGTCTCTTTCCCCACCTTGGGCGGCAGGTGCGCTTCCTGGAGCAGCAGAACAAGCTGCTGGAGACCAAGTGGCAGTTCTACCAGAACCGCCAGTGCTGCGAGAGCAACCTGGAGCCGCTGTTCAATGGCTACATCGAGACGCTGAGGCGGGAGGCCGAGTGTGTGGAGGCCGACAGCGGGCGACTGGCCTCCGAGCTCAACCACGTGCAGGAGGTGCTGGATGGCTTCAAGAAGAAGTGAGTGTGGCACCACCAGGGGAACCCAGAGGGGAGTGGGGAAGATCCGCCCACAACCCTCTGCAAACAGCCCCTTTAAGGTTCCCTGTCAACAGTGGCTGTCTGGAACCCTGGGAGATATCCAGTAGGGGACTGGGGGTTCCTCAAATTCTGGCTCCACCTCTACCCCTTGGAGGTCCTGTGGGTCTTAGAGCTCGTTTCATGGGAAATGAGGAAAGGAAACCAGTGGAGTTCCACAGCTTACCATGTCCCTACCCGCCCCAGCTCACCGTGTGCCATGGGCTCTCCATTCTCCCTGCCATGGCACTGGCTCTCTTTGCTTAGGATCACAGAGGATTTTAGATTGGGTGGGTGCAGTGTGCACTCCCTGATCTCACACCAGAGGCAGCAGGACTGGGGCAGAAAAGCCACGCCGGGACAAGGGCTAGCCCATGAATAATGCATAAAAAATAGACCATGGAGAGGACAAGATAACCCTTACAGGGTGTAATCCCTTTGACACTGTGAAGAGCTTGCCTGGGAGCTGAGATGGCATCCAAGCCCCTGCAGCTCTTGCCCCTCTCTCCCCCAAACCCAGGTATGAAGAGGAGGTGGCTCTCAGAGCCACAGCAGAGAACGAGTTCGTGGTTCTAAAGAAGGTAAGGAGACTTGTCATGGGGCAGGGAGGGAGGGGGACCAATCTGTGTAACCTCTAATCGGGGGGCACGGTCACCACACTGGCCAGAGAGGCACCTTCCTTGGGCCTCTCCCACACGCACTCCCCCTTCCTTTGCTCCACCACCAGGATGTAGACTGTGCCTACCTGCGGAAATCAGACCTGGAGGCCAATGCGGAGGCCCTGTTGGAGGAGATTAATTTCCTGAGGCGCCTCTATGATGAGGTGAGGGGGCCTCTGTCAACCAGACCAGCAGGTGGAGGGGAGATATGAAGACCTGGGGGAGAGGAGAGAGGGTGTGTTGTGTGCATATGATGTAAGCATGAAAAGAACATGCACACACATGCAAAAGGGGGATGTTGTGTGGCTGTCCCAGACACATGTATGTTTGTGCCTGGTGAGAGTGCTGGAGGGCTGTCAAGCATGTGTGTGGCTGGGCCTCTGTCTGCGGTGCAGTGGGCGAGCCCGTGTGCCACTCTGTGGGCATGTCTATCTCTGCAAGGATGTAAACTGCATGTGGTGGGGTGTGTGTCAGGGTGGGTCTCCAGTTAGAAAAGGGTCTTAATGGACAGGTCACTAGTCCAGCAATCCAAAACCCAGCTTCCCTGCTGGGTGACTTTGAGGCAGGTCTTTTTCACATGATGGGGATCAGTTTTCCCATTTGTTAAGTCAGAGGCTGTCTCGAGCTGACCTCTAGGACCCCGTCCAGCTTTATTGTTTTATGATGTACCTGTGTGTGAATGAAGGTGAGGGAAGCATGTGGAGCAGGAGTCATGTAACATGCTTGAGCAGTGTCCCCTCCAGGGAGAGATCACTGCCCCCAAGGGTGGAGCACATGGTCTACACGAGACCCCAAAACCAAACACACTGGCTGTTGGTCCCCCAGGAGATCCGCATTCTCCACTCCCACATCTCAGACACCTCAGTCATCGTCAAGATGGACAACAGCCGGGACCTGAACATGGACTGCATCGTGGCTGAGATCAAGGCTCAGTACGATGACATTGCCAGCCGCAGCCGGGCTGAGGCTGAGTCCTGGTACCGCACTAAGGTGAGTGGCCCAGGACACCAGTCTCCTAGGCATGGCAGTGGGAGGGATTCAAGGTATATATTAGAAATCGCTCTTTTTGTTTGGGATTTTGATCTTTAGGGATGGGAAGACAGGGACAGACAGCTCTCAGTTTAGGTGGCAGGTCAGGGCTGCCCTGTATGGTTGCACAGGCTGAGCACTGCACAACCTGCACAATCATCCATGGTGACCTGAATGGGCAGGATTCCCATCCTGAGTTTCAGGAGCATCTCTGCTTCCCCCCAGTGCGAGGAGATGAAGGCCACAGTGATTCGGCATGGGGAGACCCTGCGCCGCACCAAGGAGGAGATCAATGAGCTGAACCGCGTGATCCAGAGGCTGACCGCTGAGATTGAGAATGCCAAGTGCCAGGTAAGGTACAGGAGGGCTCAAATACCCAGCACAGGCAGACTGTAGCACCAGGCCCTTTGCTCCCAGGAGGGCGAAGTTCTGGCCCCATCAAGCCTCACAGAGTGCCTGTGAGGAAGCAGGGACCCAGAGAGGGGCAGGGGTTCTACCACACCCAGTATTCGAGCTGGAATGAGCCTTATCACTGACATCCCTCTCCTTGGCCACCCTGCAGCCACCACCAAGGAGAGATGGTGGAAAGCTCCCATGTCCTCTTGTGTGTTCACACTCTCATTAACTACTTATGATCATAGGTAGTTAACCTACCTTCTCTCTGGGACCCTCCTCTTCCTGCCCCAACTCCATCAGTTCAGGTGAGCCAAGCTTTCCTTTCTCTCATTCTTGTCCTCACATCTCCTTCCCCATAGCGTGCCAAGCTGGAGGCTGCTGTGGCAGAGGCTGAGCAGCAGGGCGAGGCTGCCCTCAATGACGCACGCTGCAAGCTGGCTGAGCTGGAGGCTGCCCTGCAGAAGGCCAAGCAGGACATGGCCTGCCTGCTCAAGGAGTACCAGGAGGTGATGAACTCCAAGCTGGGCCTGGACATCGAGATCGCCACCTACAGGCGCCTGCTGGAGGGCGAGGAGCACAGGTGAGACTAAGGAGGGCCTCATGGGCTATATAGGAGGAGGCCCTGTTCCTCTGGGAGTGAAACTCCCTGACCCCAAGTGTGAGCTACATCTCTGACTACTGCTAGTACAGGTGAAGCTTCAATAATAGGAACAATTTATTGAGTGCTTATCATGTCAGGCCTGTGTTAAATGCTCATTTTCATCCACAATCCAATGAGATAGGTATCATTTTTTCCCTCCAAAGATAAGGAAATAAGACTCAGTGTTTGGTGACCTTCTCATGGCCATACAGTTAATAATTGCAGAGCTGGGACCTGTACCCAAATCATGGACCTCTAAAACCCATCTCTCCCAGCAGTTTCCTATATGGCTGCAGTCTGGCAGATCACGCAGGCTTGGGCACTTAAGAGGGCAAGGCACTCTCAATGCACATAGCTCTTCACTGGCACAAAGCCACTTCACACACGCTCGTGAATTTGCTTGGACTTTCCTCTCTGAGAGTCTGCTCAGCACTACCCAGGGTAGGCGGGTCTCTCAGATGGGAGTTTGTAATCTCATGCACCTCTGCTGACAATCAGGAGGCTTATCTGCATAGTCAGAGAACAATTAAAGAAAGAAAGTGAACATTCAGTGCAGATTTTGGAGAGTGCTTCCTGCATCTCACGAGGGTCCTCGCTGTCCCAGAGCAACCATTGCTTCAAGAAATGCAGCTCAGGGTCCAGAGCTAACAGAGATTTCTTTCCCTATAGGCTGTGTGAAGGCGTGGGCTCTGTGAATGTCTGTAAGTATCAGCTTGAAACCCCCTAGAAAAAATGGCTTTGTTGATGGGCAAAGCTGAACTTCACCTAACCTATTGAATCTGTAATGTTTCTCAACACGGAGAAGGCTTCCCTTCTCCTCTGGATCCTCTCTGGGGAGCATTTATTGGGTTAGATAAGCACCCTCCACTGGTGGCGGTGTGAATTGCAGGCCAAGGCAGCTTTGCCCCTCTGGGTCGGGGGTCCTCACTTCCTTCTTGCCCCACTCCCCTAAGGGCTTAGATGCTGAGAGGAACGGGGCCCTGAGCTAGTAACCGCTAAACCTCTTTCAGGAGGAGAACGCCCCTGCTATGCGGAAGACCCTTAGGGTTTGTCACAGGGTTGGCCAGATCAGAGCAGGCCACTCACCCCTCTGTGTCCCCTCTCTTCCCACAGGCGTCAGCAGCTCCCGCGGTGGAGTCAGCTGTGGGGGCCTCACATTTAGCGCCACCTCGGGGCGTCAGATTGTCTCTGGCCCCGTGGCCACTGGAGGCAACATCACGCTGATGGCACCCGACTCTTGTGTCCCCTGTCAGCCCCGCATCTCCAGCTTCAGCTGCGGGAGCAGCCGCTCGGTCCGCTTTGCATAGAGGCCGGGCGCCTGCGTCTGCTTGAGCACAGAATGGTGTGTGAATGGAAAATGTGTGCTTGCTTCCGGGATTTTCCACATGTTCCTACAGAGGGAAAGTCCCTTGGGCCGCTCTCCATCACCTTATTATTTTAGGGAATTGTTTCCTGGTTCTCCTCTCGGCTTCAGTTAGTCATTCCCAGCCCATCACTTAATTCCAATTTTATCCCAAAATACCCGTGACCAATTTGAATTATTCACCAAGCTCTCTGGGACACTACCGGTCACCCAGGGAGGCTGGACATCATGAAAGCTTGGCCTTCCCTGAAACGTAAATGAACCTAACCATCTAGCCAGGTCCTGGACAACCTGAGTTTCAGAGAAAAGTGTCACATGCCCAACCCCAACTCCCAGCAGCTCCCCTCTCCTGGCTGGTGAGGTCTCTGCAGGAAGAACTTGCCCAGTGGTCATTTTTGTTGTTTCGCTTGTCTCTCTGACTGCATTCTTCTGGGTTAACCTGTTGCAGCAAAACTCCTCAGATGACCT